TTCGTGGATTTGAATACAACGAAGACTCTGGAGAATGAGTACCTAATGGACGAAGAACACGAGATCCTGAACATTACGATAAAACCCCAGTTTGAAAAGGATCATCACTACTCGCTTCAGATAAAATACAATGGAATCTTGAACGACAAGTCGAAAGGATTTTATAGGAGCCAAGTCATACAAAGGGGCCAAGTAGTGTAAGGAAGCTTTATTATTACTATTATTATTATCATTATTATTGTTACTAATATTATTAACGAGCATAAATTCTTTAGAATTTACAAAGGAAAACAAGAGACGTGTGACAAAGAATTCAACTTTTTTACATTTTAGCGGGTATATCGCAACGACTTATTTCGAGCCGACGTACGCTCGACTAGCGTTCCCATGTTGGGACGAGCCCGCCTACAAGGCGAAGTTCGACATCAGTTTGACGCACGATAAGACACTTCAAGCGATCTCTAATACGGACGTACTGAAAAAAGAAGAAAAAGATGACATGATAACTACTTCGTTCAAAGAAACCCGACTGATGTCTACTTATTTGGTAGCATTCGTTGTAAGCAATTATGAATTTAAGGTAGATAAAGACGGCAACTTCACCTATAGGGTATGGACGAGGAAAACAATGATAAAGCATGTTGACTACGCTTTGGAAATGGGTAGGGAGCTTCTAGAAGAGCTGAATTTGTACATGAATATTTCGTACCAGACATATATGCCAGACAAATTAGATCAAATTGCGGAGAAGGATTTCCCGGTCGGCGCTATGGAGAATTGGGGTTTCGTGATTTTCAGGTATTTACAAGCGACGAACATCGCGATCAAAATGTAACAGGTTTTATTGCTTATCGATCTGAAAGGAAAAATAAGGAAATAGTTAGTACTGAATTAAAAAAATACTCGCGATTCTCCGCTCCTTGTAATGAATCATTTGATCAAATTGTACAATTGAATTGCGAAATGCTAATTTATTATCATTGATAGACTACGGATTTTATGCATACATACAAAAATTAAATGTACCGGAAATATAATGAATGCATGCGACATGCAAAA